CAGAGATCATAACAGTAGCTACCTTATTTGGGTGTTAGAGGATTAAATGAGTTAATAATTGTTAACCCCTCATACCAGTGCCTGACACATAACTGGTCCTCCAGTAAAGTGTTAGCTATGATCCTTGTGGCGTAAGCATGAGGCAGCAGAGTATGATCACTGAGAACCTGGGCTCTGGAGTTACCCGAAACCCGCCCCTGCCACTTAACAGCTCTGTGACCTTGGACAAATCATCCAAGTTCAAGGTGATGATATCAGCAGCTGCTGTGTTAAAGGGTGGCTGTGAGAATTAGACGACATGGCCCACATAAAACACCTGCACTGTGCCTCACAGAACATAAGCGCTCAGAAAACTTAGGCCATTATTCTTACCGAGGTGGGATGGCACTAAAACTCTTAAGTACAAAAGGATGGTATTGCACATAACATGAACACTGAATAAAGGAAAACTGGTATAATTCAAATAAAACATTCAAACAACTTATTCAGGTGTCCCTTTTTGTGTATACAAGTGAAGTGGCATAAGGCTTATGTGATGGACAGATCCAACAGCAGAAAATCTCACATGGAAAAGCACAGATCTAGGAATTTTTGTGAGGAATCAAAGGTTATACAAGCAGAATGAGAAAAGTTCCTTTTGCAAAGTGGAATTTTAAGAAGACTACTGTGACAATAACACTATATGTGAAATTAGGATGGAAACTCTTTCAATAAGACTAATGCAGTAGGAAGGTAGCAACGTGAACAGGAAGAAACAGGTATATCCAAAAAACATAAACACACGAACTGTACAGGTTTTTGTAACTACCAAAATGTGTTAGACGCTGGAAGAGCCAATTTTGACATCCAAGATTTTAAACTCTGACAAGCAGCATGATGGCCTAATTATAAGCCGTGTAAATGAGAAGTGATTGAGAGGAATAATTAGTTTGCTTTTTGCTTTCTTTTTTGCAGTACGCGGGCCTCTCACTGCCATGGCCTCTCCCGTTGTGGAGCACGGGCTCTGGAAGCGCAGGCCCAGTGGCCATGGCTCACGGGCCCAGCCACTCCGCGGCATGTGGGATCCTCCCAGACCGGGGCACGAACCCGTGTCCCCTCGATCGGCAGGCGGACTCTCAACCACTGCGCCACCAGGGAAGCCCTACTTTTTGTTTTAATATCTTAAGTTATGGTGAAAGCAGAAAATCCAGGTGGAAAGTTGAATTTAAGAAGCCAGAATCGAGGGGCTCATGAAAGGTAGAACTGGAGAAACAGATCTGGGAATATCTTCCCATAAATGAAACATGTGAGACTACTCAGTGACAAATGTGAAGGCTAATCAATTGGGGTTTAACCACATTTAGTCAGAATAGAAAAAGACATAGGACTAAGTCTTATTTTGTAGAAGCAAAGGCTGCCCGAGAGCCAGCAGGAATAATATTAAAGAAAAAGAACGAAGACTGAGAAAAGGTAATTCAATAATGAGAAAAGCCATAGCAACTAACTTTAGGGCAGTAACTGGATTACAAAGGTTAAAAAGTGAGTAATGAACACTGAATACCTTATAAGTCTTATATAGAATCTGCAACTGCCTCATGAAATGGGTCTATTAACGCATTTTGTGGTATAACTACTTCATTAGTTGTCATAGGAAATATTTAGAAGTGCAATAATAAAAGCATACATAAACTCCATGGCAACACAGCTATGGATTCAAATCCTGGGGCTCAACTTCACACCAGCTCTGTGACTAAAAAAATTTAACTTCTGGGCTTCCCTGGTGGCGCAGTGGTTGAGAATCTGCCTGCCGATGCAGGGGACATGGGTTCGAGCCCTGGTCTGGGAAGATCCCACATGCCACGGAGCAACTGGGCCCATGAGCCACAACTACTGAGCCTGTGCGTCTGGAGCCTGTGCTCCGCAACAAGAGAGGCCGCAACAGTGAGAGGCCCGCACACCGCAATGAAGAGTGGCCCCCACTCACCACAACTAGAGAAAGCCCTCGCACAGAAACGAAGACCCAACACAGCCATAAATAAATAAATAAATAAATTTTTTAAAAAACAAAAAAAAATTAACTTCTAAGGGCCCAGGCTCATTTGTAAAATTGAGGCATATACCATCTAACACTCAGTCACCATAAGGATTAAAAAAGATAACTGCTTTCAATTTACAAAATGCTTCTCTTTTGATTCTCCCCTCGCCAAAATATGAGTAGCTAAGAAAGACAAGGAAATCTGGGTTCAAGAAGTTGAGGGGTACCCAAAGACCACAATGCTCTTTAGTGGCAGAAACAAGGCTAAAATCATAGCCTTCCACCCTGTTTGCAACATACCGCGAAAATCTGCATTAAAATTTCAAATCCATAAGGACCTGATTAATTAATCTGGTTGCCTTAAAGGACCATCTGTTTGTTCCAATTGGGTGGGGATATTTTAAAGTACAAAGTTTGGTCGGTAAACTATAATCAGTGCTTAAATATACAGCTCTTCATTGTTAGGAGCCCTCAACAGAGTGTTTTTCCATAACCCTGATTCTTTTAGTGTACTATCAAGGAAAAGTATTATTTAAGGTAAAGATGGTAACTAAAAAAAAAAGACAACTTGAATGCAACACGCAAGAATACAATATTCAAAGGTCCCCCTTCTGAGTATTTTTTTTCCTTAACTTAACGCTAACCCTTAAAAATAAACGCTTATCTATGAAACTAAGTCTGGCCGACTAACCCTACCCGCTATTTAAAATAACAGAAAATGATGAAGTAGTTTCATCTAGCTACAGACACAACTACATCTGACGACACGGCCAATCAATCCTAACTCTTTCATCTCAGACGCTCAACCTGCCCCTTGCCTGCTGGCGCGAGAAACACGTTCAGATAGTAACGAACGGTTAGGTCCATTTTTAAACCTCTTCCAGAGCAGAGCCCAGATATCAATTTCTACCTCCCGTCCACGCAAACCTGCCCGTCCACATCGAGACCCAGTGACCGGCCTGTACGGTGAAGCCCTGAGGAACAAGATCGAACCGAGCAACCACGGAGAGGGAGGCCTGCGGCTGGCGGGGCAAAGCCGGGTAGCCATGCCGACAGCCTTAGGCAGGGACATGGGGGGAGAAAGAGGAAGCGGCGGCTTTCCGGGCTTTACCCTCCGTTGAAAGCGTAGGGCGAAAAGCGCAGCTGCAAAGGGCCCGGGGCGCTGTGAGGCTCCATGGCCGGGTCTCTCCCCGGGCCCGAGTACGCGGCTACCGAGGACAACATCCCGCTGCTCCGCTCCTGCTGTCTCACGGCGAGATGGCGGCCCCTACCGGAAATGGCGCCACTTCCGGCTTCGCGGCGCTGCCTCCGGCCGCTCGGTCTCACGCCGGTCATTGGTCCTAGAGGCAAGCGCCGTAACCTTCCGGTGAGTAGCCGGCGCCCGCTCTTCCAAGAGAGCTGACAGAGAGGTAAAGGCTTTCTCTCCCAAGGAAACATTCGAAATCACTCTTGATGGATAAAAATTTTAAGGTCTGACCTTACAAAGAAATTGGCAAAACTATGGAGCAACGGAAGCTCGAAGACTCTATTGGAGCGTAAATTGGTACAGCCATATTTCGAACAGGGATTGGCATTACTCGGCATAGTTGAAAATACACACGCATCATGACCCAGCAGTGTCACGCAGAGGTATGTACCCTGGCCAGAAAGACGTGTAAGAATGTTCATAAAACATTGTTCTTAACGGCCCCAAAGTAGAAATGAGCTAAATGTCCATAAACTGCAGGATGGATAAAGCAACTGAGGGATGTGTCACAGCAAAAAATTAACCTACTTCAGCTAGAGCGAAGGCACATCAACATGGATGAGTCTTCTAACGTTGAGCAAAAGAATACATACTATATACTTTAGGAGTACACAGTAAGTAGGAAGGGCCTGTGTGGCTGGGGACGGGTCGTGGTGCTGGCAGTACTGGTTGTCTTTACTTGATTTAATACCGTCTGTTAATCTGTACATGGGTTTATGTACTTCTGTATATGAATATTATATTTTACAATTTAAAAATGTTATGTAAAAAAGCAGACAAGCAGCTGGCTAATATAGAATGGACTGTCTGATATATACATGCAATTCTGGAAGCAGAGAAGATTTTTGAAAAGTACTTTTTTAATTAAAACTTTCCCCATACTTAAACAAAGGATTTTCTTTGATGGTTATGGACAGAAAAGTATTGTACTTATTCAGGTACTGGCCTGGATAGAAAAATTCTGTAAAACATTTCCTATCCTTAAGGAGCTCACAACCTCATTGATTATATGAAGTACAAAGGAAAGCATTACAACATGTAATTATGCCTAAATGAGCCATAGGAGAGGTACTCTGGGGTCCAACTACCTATAGTCTCTTTGTGACCAATGTGAAAATACTGCATAAGATGGTAGCAGCAGAATTAAAATATAATCGAATTTGTAAACCAGGTGTGTTTTTTGTTTGTTTGTTTTATCATTCTACATGTTTGAGAATAGCTAACATGCTTACCATGTGCCAGGCACTGTTCATGCATTTCCTTAATTCATCTCACAGTCCTTAGAGGACACGTGCTATTATTACTCCATCCTACAGACGAAGAAACTGAGGCGGAGAGGTCTGGTAACTTGCTAAATGTCACATCGCTAGTCGGTTTAAACAGTCAACATTTAAAAATCAGTCTTGCCTACTACATCCAGCAACAACCAATCGTAAAATACTCTGACAGGGTGGCCTCGCCGGAAGGCAGAAGAGCTCCGCCCCGCCCCTTGTTTCCCTTAAGCCGAATACCTAGCAAATCACAGGAAGTGACGCAACACCCACACTTCCCATGGCCCGCGCTGCACGGTGGGGTGCCGGCCGAAGCCGAGGGCGGAACTGGCGGAAGTGACGTTAACAACGCGCGCCAGGAGTTCTGTAGGGTCGGGAACGGTCGCCGTAGCGGGCGCCTGGGCCGTTTGTGGCTTAACGTCGTTTTCGCCGACTGTTAGTTGTCTCTGCAGTGACTCCAGGTAACAGCCCTTTGAGCTTTTCTCTGAGGTTTCGTGTAGAGGTGACCGCTGCAGCGGGGCCCTGGGGTGATGGTGGGAGGAGGCGCGGAATGGACGGGGACACCGCGCGGGGGCTGTTCCTCCCGCTCGTGCTGCCGCAGCTTCGGCCTGTACCGGCTGCCTATCCCACCGAGTGCCTTCCTCTGCCGTAGTTCGAAAGCGGCTTCCCATAGTACGAGCGTGTGGTGCAGGGTGCTGGGAGGGGCCTGAGACAGGACAGTCCCGCGCATCCAAGACGCGGAGTCTTTATGTCCTGCCATCCGTTAATTCCTCTCGATATTCAAAGGGAGATTCACCCTGGCCTGTGCCCACCTGTTTTGCTACCAGCAGTGGTGGTTTTATAATAAAGTTGCGCTTGAGACTTTTTAACGTTTTGTCAGAGGCCGGAGAGTTCAGGCACGCTAGAGCGTTAAGATACAAATACACACCACTTTCCTTACGAGGTCTCCCTCCCTAGGCCCTGGACTGTGTGATTTTCTCGTTTAAAACTCCAGGTAGACGTCTCTGAAAAGATTATGCTTGATTTACATATGCAGTCACTAGAAGGCTATGCAGAATTAATTGAGTCTTTTCCCGTATCAGTGATTATTTCCAAAAAATATCGAATTTGACCAAAAAATGAGATTCTGCAAACAACTCTCTTTTGTGAGGATACAGTAGTGCGGTAATAGTTGTGCGGTTTTAATGACACAGGGGAGGAAAGATGGTCAGTTCCATCACTGGGAGTGAGAGATGAGCTCTGAAAATGGTTACATGAGGCCTCAACCTAGTTCCACAGATTTGTTCTCTAGACTTAGTTTGTAACAAGGGGTCTGGAGCCACCAGTTTCTGGATAATCTGTAGTCATATTAATGAGTGGTTTAAATCCTGCCCTCATTAGCTCTTGCCTGAACCACAGCAGTGAGTCTTAAACCGAACTTCCAGCCTCCAGTTTTATCTATTGGAATTCACCACACTCTTGCCAAAGTAGATCTACTCATGGTGCACTTCAGAATCTTGTCACTGCTCATATTGCTTATGTAATAATGACTTAGAATCCTGATAATGTGACCTCACTTATATTTGCTGTCTCATCCCCTGCAGGAACGTTCCATGCAGTCATGCTAAATTTGTTGCTTGCATACTGCGTGCTCTTTCAGTGTTTGTCTCTTTCTGCTTCATCTTTCTTCTGCCTGAAATGCTGAATATAAATTCCTTCTCACCTTGCTAGACCCAAGTCATATGGTCCCTGCTTTATGAACATACTCTTCAAAACACTTGGCAGTTATATTGTCTTCTTTTGTGTAGCATGTATGCATTCATTCATGATCACATACTATATGCCAGGCCCTGTACTAAGTACAGAGATTACAAAGACATATATTGCTGATTTCTTCACTCAAGGGGCTTAGCATAGTGCATATCTGCTATTATAGCACTTAAGTTTTGCAGTGATTATTTACACATCCTTCAAATTGAACTCTTTGATGCCAGGGATCAAATGCCTCTTCATTTTTATATTTGCAGCACTTCTGTTGTTGTAAGAGGATAACAATGTCTGAAAGAGCATAATTTTCTTATATGTCTGATGTTTTCTGAAGCAGAGTTTTCTCTTTTTTTTGGTCTGTTTTCCATTGATGAATATGTAGGATATATAGTCTTTGGGGTCCTTTGTCCTTTCAAAGTCATTATCAGATTCTTTCTGAGTGCTTATTTTGTACCAGTACATGCTTGAGTTACACGTGTGTCTTTGACATATAACTTGTAACTTTAAGATCTGTAAGTTCTGTGTGAGAATATCTTATTAGATGGTAATGTTTAAACTGAAATCTAATAATAATAGCTAACATTTATCCTGTGCTTACTGTGTGATAATTAGATGCTGTTCTTGAGGTGTTAATCAGTCCTGTTTGAATCGGTCAGTTCTCACAGCAATCCTGAGCACGGTAGGAGTCCATCTGAACTAAACAATAAAAGGTAGTTCATCAGTCACTCGGTTCTTTTGACTAAAAGAAATTTCAAACGTGTAGCCAGTAAAGACATGATTTAAGGAAAGCCAGATACAGGCATAGTTTGTATTTATGTGTTCTGAAGAATTAAAGTTATTACATATATAAAAACATGATGTTTATTTTTATGTCTGTACGGCGTCTGTCACAGTGTTTTATTTAAAGTAGTTGCTCAATAAATGAGCACACTAAAGTGTATTGGATCCAATTCAAAATTTATTAAACTTAATGCCCAAGACATTGTAGAGGATAGAATGCTGAATGGAATATTTTAAAACTTGAATTTAGCCTAATAGCGCTGTGTATACAATGCATAATAAATATTTCTACTCAGATATGACAGGTTCCTTAGGAATTTGTTTTCCCTGGGTGTTTTTCCCCCAAAGTTTTTAATGCTGATTATGTACTTTAATTTTTAACATTATAAGACTATAAATTAAACACATAAAAAAACAATTTTTGTTCTGTTGGCAATTTTGCATGCAGTCACAGGAAATGTGGAAGGAATAAGATTTCAGCTTTGTAAGGTAAAAAGAAATATATTCCAAAATAGTTTCGTTGGTTTTTTTCATTCTTTGTTTGTTTGTTTTTTGTTTAACCATGAAACTGGTTTATAAGACTGTATAGCTTACCTGTATTCTTACATTAAACTTCAAACTTTTTTCAAAGCAGCATCACTGTTTCTTGGTGTGCATGAAGATAACCCAGAGAGTTGAGGAAGTCGCTAAGAGTGTGCTGGGGATGCTCTAGGAAAAGACTGAATGCTGAGGTGATTCCCAGTCCAAAGGTGTTTGATTTGCCAAGAAGAAAGTGAACCTCATGGATCAGAACAACAGCCTCCCACCTTATGCCCAGGGCCTGGCCTCCCCTCAGGTAATACAACTGGAGGGAGGGTACACGTAGGACAGAATCTGCATTGTTAGAGACAGTGTAAAAGGGAAGCAAGGGAATTTAACCATCTGTTGTTGAAAATGGATTTATATTTTTTAAGCCTCCTTTATTTCATTGAGAAGTTCTATTAGGCTTTGAATAAACATGATAGTGTTTGATTTGGGGAGTTTGTTTGGAAGCTAAAATGTGTATTTGTAAAACTTAATCTTTTGATAAGCACTTATGAAAGTGGTCTGAGTGATTATAGGGTGTTTGATTTTGGAGATAACTCTAACCAAATTATTTTCTAGTTTTCTTTTCATTTTTATGTTTAAGGTTCCAAATAACGTAGCTACTTTTAAATTTTTAAATAACTTCTGTTGAAGTGTAGTTTACATACTTAAATAAAAACACTATTATTTTTAAGGTTTAATTTTATTTATTTTTGGCTGCATTGGGTCTTCGTTGCTGCGAGCAGGCTTTCTCTAGTTGCGGCGAGCGGGGGCTACTCTTCGTTGTGGTGCACGGGCTTCTTGTGGTGGCTTCTCTTGTTGCAGAGCACGGGCTCTAGGTGTGTGGGCTTCAGTAGTTGTGGCACGCGGGCCCTAGAGCGCAGGTTCAGTAGTTGTGGCGCATGGGCTTTGCTACTCCGCGGTGTGTAGGATCTTCCCAGACCAGGGATCGAACCCGTTTCCCCTGCATTGGCAGGTGGATTCTTATCCACTGTGCCACCAGGAAGTCAAAAAACACCCATTTTAAGTATGTGTTTTGATAAGTGTATGCACCTGTGAAGGTTATAGAACATTTCAATCACCCTAAAAGTCCCTTCCTGCCCCTTTGCAGTCACTCCCCTAGCTCCAGGCAACTAATGATCTGCTTTCCAGAGTTAGAGATAGTTTTGCCTACTCTAGAATATCATGCAAATGGCACCATACCAGTATATGCTTTTATTTGTGTCTGTCTTTGTGTATCAGCAAGTTCCTTTTTATCACCAAGTAGCACTCTGTTGTATGGGTGTCCGACAGTTTGTCCATTTTCCAGTTGCTGACATTAGGGTTGTTTCCAGGTTGGGGCCATTGTGAATAAAGGTGCTTTGCGTTTGTGTACATTTCTCCGTGTCTGCTATGTTTTTGTTTCTCTTGGGTGAGTACTCAGGAGTGGGATTGCTGGGTCATTGTGTACGTGCATGTTTAACTCTATAAGAAAGCATGTTCTGAGGCTCTGCCAGCAACACGTGAGAGTTCTAGTTGCTCCGCGTGCTCACCGGCCCTTGGGTTTTTACTTCAGCCGTTCTAGAAGTACAAGCATTTTCCTCTGACTTATGATCTTGAACATCTTGTCAAGTGCTTATTAGCTATTTATAGATCTTCATTTGTAAAATGTCCTTCACATCTTTTGCCCATTCTTTATTGGTCTGTTTTTTCATCTTTTATTGAATTTTGATTGTTCTTTATGTAGTCTGGATATGAGTTCTTTCTCAGATATATGTATGGTAGATGTTTTCTCATAGTCTGTGGCTTAATTTTTAATTTTCTTTTTTTTAAAAAAATATTTATTTATTTTATTTTTTTGTCTGCGTAGGGTCTTAGTTGTGCCACATGGGATCTTTCGTTGCGGCATGTGGGCTTCTCTCTAGTTGTGGCGCACGGACTTCTCTCTAATTGTGGTGCACAGGATCCAGAGCGCATGGGCTCTGTAGTTGCGGCACTCGGGCTCTCCAGTTGTGGCACATGGGCTTAGTTGCCCCGCAGCCTGTGGGATCTTAGTTCCCTGACCAGGGATCGAACCGGCGTCCCCTGTATTGCAAGCCAGGTTCTTAACTCTTAACCACTGGACCACCAGGGAAGTCCCAAGTTTTAATTTTCTTAATGGTATCTTTCAAAGAGTAGAAGTTCTCGATTTTTTCTAAGTCTTAAAGCATTGTTATCCTCTAGAGCCTGAAGGGTTAAGGAGCTTCCTTAAATTCTCACGTGTTGTAAGTAGCAGAGTTGGATTTCACACCCAGGTCTGCTTCCACATCCTAAGCTCTTACCTACTGTGTTATGCTGAAGAAGAAAGTGATGTGTGTAAGAACAGCAAGTTCCTCCCCATTACTGCTATATAACCCCCTTTGTACTCGGAAGGTGCCTGTCTTTGCAAATCTCATCTGCTGTTCTACCAGCCAAGTCCTACAGACACAAACACCAGCCAGCCTAACCCATTGTTCTCCTAACTTCCCACAGGGGGCCATGACTCCTGGAATCCCTATCTTTAGTCCGATGATGCCGTATGGCACAGGACTGACTCCACAGCCTATTCAGAGCACCAACAGTCTGTCTATTTTGGAAGAACAGCAAAGGCAGCAGCAGCAACAGCAGCAGCAACAGCAGCAGCAGCAGCAGCAGCAGCAGCAGCAGGCGGCAGTGGCAGCCGTTCAGCAGTCGACCTCCCAGCAGGCGACCCAGGGGGCCTCGGGCCAGACACCACAGCTTTTCCACTCACAGACTCTTACGACCGCACCCTTGCCGGGCACCACTCCCCTGTATCCCTCCCCCATGACTCCCATGACCCCCATTACCCCTGCCACGCCAGCCTCGGAGAGCTCTGGGATTGTGCCGCAGCTGCAGTGAGTACTTGTTGTACGTCCTTTCCCTGCCCTGGAGGGGTCCACTGGAACTGTGCTGCTGTTCTTTGTTCTCAGATGGATTGAGTTATTTGTGTGGCACTAATGGCGATCATGCATCAAAACTCGCTTTAAAAAGAAAAGGGGAAGCTGTCTTAGTGAGTCAGTGCCCCCAGTAAAAGGCTCTCATAACATCTTCAGAAATTTAGTAGCTGTGCTTATATGTTTGGGCCAATGAAGTCCAATTTAGATTGCATTATTGTTATTGTAGACATTTCGCTGTAGCTGATTTACCAAATGAAGCTTTATGTAGTCTCCTTCCCGTGTGATATTTTTAGTTTTTGGGAAGATTAATTACTTAGTCACAGAATCATTATAGTTCATAGTGGTCCTTGTTTTCCTTCATTGGTCATTGTAAGGGCTGCATGTAAATTTTTGAAGAACTGTGCCCTTCCCACAAGCTGAGGATGGCTGTTCTTGTCCTAAATGTATTTTTCTATCTAATTGAATTAGGTCCTGTATGTAACAGAACTGGGGGGTAGGGGACGGGTAGGGAAAATTTCTCCTTCCTGAAAACCAAATATTCTTAAATATCTGTCGCCGAGAAGTATATAGCTTTTGCCTTTAGGAAGTTTATGGCCATATCAGGGGATATTTGTAACAACTATGTTACCCAGTTTTCTTGTAAGTCATTCCTGATCATTTTTAGAACTAAGTAATGTTTAACCATGGATCCTGACTCTTATCCAGTGGCCTAAATCTTGCGTGGGTGTTTGTTTGATCTGAAACAATTTTAAAAACAAAATAATTTTAATCTTAATGATTTTAGAAAGATAAGCACTTGTTAGTTCACCTCTATAAACACCATACCCTATTGTCTTTTAACACTTAGCTGGCTCCTATGTGTATTTAAGTTTGCACCTTTGGTTTAAATCGTAAATTCTACCTAGTTCAGATGGGGTGTTTGTTTCTTGCCAACACCGTAATATTTCTGGTATTCCACAAAGCGTCCCAGAAAATTCACAAGATTGTAGAAATTAAATAACATACTTGTATTTTCTTAATTTATTTTTGTTACGAACTTATTTATTTATTTTTATTTTTGGCTGCGTTGGGTGTTCGTCACTGCATGCGCACGCTTTCTCTAGTTGCGGCGAGCGGGGGCTACTCTTCATTGTGGTGCACGGGCTCAGTAGTTGTGGCTCGTGGGCTCTAGAGTGCAGGCTCAGTAGTTGTGGTGCATGGGCTTAGCTGCTCCATGGCATGTGGGATCTTCCTGAACCAGGGCTCAAACCCGTGTCCCCTGCCTTGGCAGGTGGATTCTTAATTGCTGCGCCACCAGGGAAGTCCAAATAACACACTTTTAAACAGCCAATGGATTGAAGATCATAGGGACAGTTAGAAAATACTTAGAGACAAATGAAAACAAAAATACAACATACTAAAACATATGGGATGCAGCAAATGTGGTGCTGTGGGTGAAATTTATACCTACAAATGATCACATTAAAAAACAAGAGGGCTTCCCTGGTGGCACAGTGGTTGAGAATCTGCCTGCCAAGGCAGGGGACACAGGTTCGAGCCCTGCTCTGGGAAGATCCCACATGCCGCGGAGCAGCTAGGCCCGTGAGCCACAATTACTGAGCCTGCGCGTCTGGAGCTTGTGCTGCACAATGAGAGAGGCCGCGACAGTGAGAGGCCTGCGCACCGCGATGAAGAGTGGCCCCCGCTCGCCGCAACAAGAGAAATCCCACACACAGAAACGAAGACCCAACACAGCCAAAAAACAAACAAAAATATTTCAAATCAATAACTTAATGTTACAACTGAAAAAAGAACAAACTAACCCCAAAGCTAGCAGAAGGAAGGAAATAGTAAAGATTAGGGCAGAGATAAATGAAATAGAGAAAAGAAAAACAGTAGAGAAAATCAATGAAACAAAAGGTTGGTTCTTTGAAAAAAATCAACAAACGTTTAGTTAGACTAACAAAAAAAGGGAAGACTCAAATTACTAAAATCAGAAAAGGAAGTAGGGATGTTACTACCAATTCTACACAAATAAAATAGATAAGAAAGTTCTGTGAACTTGTGTATGTAAAATTGATTGGAAGGAAATAGGTGATGTAGAAATGAGAACATTGAGTTGATCAACCTAACTGGCATTACAATTGTGTATTAAAGAAGACACCCAACCTCTTTTCAACCTAATTATGAGCTATCAAGTTTTCAAAGGTATTGCATTTTGACAGTGCCAAAAAAAGACCCAGAAGCAGCCATGAGCTGGAACAGTTGGAGATGTATTTGCAATCTGGGATCAGTATTCACAAGAGAGTGATGTTACAACTCATTTAGAAGTTATTTATAAAATTATATAAGAATATTAAAAAATGAAAAGTGTTCATTGGACCCAGATAATAAATGGTGATGTTTGTTTTTCTTGACTTACTGAGGGTTAATCAGAGGAAAAAGCTGGTTTTCTTCCTTTGTCAAAGATAATTGAACTTTTGTTCTTCCAAAGATACTTATTTTGAGAGAAGTGAGAAAGTCATACCTCACTTAGGAACCATGTGTATACAGAGCAAGTTACCCCCACTTAAGCCTCAGCTTCTTCATCTGAAAATGGCAGTACTAAATAGTTATTACTTCATAGTGCATTGTAAGTATTAAGTGAGATTATCTTTGTAAAATGTTGGCATGGTGTTTGGTACTTGTTTAAACACTTAATAAATGTCAGCAATTTTTTAAAATTTTAATTAAAAAAATTAAGATAGTTTAAATTAAACTAATTTAATCTCATTAAATTTCATTAAATTAGTTCTAATGAAAGAATACAATTTCTAAGTAATCATCTAACACTAACAGTAAATAATCATGTTTTCTTTTCTAATTTCTTACAGAAATATTGTATCCACAGTGAATCTTGGTTGTAAACTTGACCTGAAGACCATTGCACTTCGTGCCCGGAATGCTGAATATAATCCCAAGGTCAGAACAATTTTAATGTATTTCAGACTATAATAATACAGAATTTTCTTCCAAAGGTCTCTAGATCAAAAAGAATATGTTGTGTTTAAGTTTGTTGACACCAGCAAAACAAGGATTTAAAGCAAAATATGCAGCATTTTTATTGACTAGCTGCCAAGTAGGAGACTCCAGGAATACAGCAGTCCACAGGATGAAGTTTGACACATCCATTGTGAGGGGATCACGTGAAGTTACAGAGCAAAATATATAGAGACTCCAGGAATACAGCAGTCCACAGGATGAAGTTTGACATATTCATTGTGAGGGGATCATGTGAAGTTACAGAGCAAAATATATAGTATGATCCCATTTATGTTTTGAAAACTATATAGAATCGAATGCCATGCTACCTGGAATTTACTTCAGAATAGTCCAGTTGGAGAATTGGGAAAGGGACATATGGATGAAACAAGATTAGCCAAAAGTTAATAATTGTTAAAGCTGGATAATAAGTACAAGAAGTTTATTATATTTTCTACCTTTGTATAACTGCCGATTTTTTTATAATAAAAAGATTAAGGGAAAAATACCTACAAATTTTCTGATTTTAAGATAACAGCCTAGGGCTTCCCTGGTGGCGCAGTGGTTAAGCATCCCCCTGCCAGTGCAGGGGACATGGGTTCGATCCCTGCTCTGGGAAGATCCCACATGCCGCGGAGCAACTAAGCCCGTGCACCACAGCTACTGAGCCTGCGCTCTAGAGCCCGTGAGCCACAACTACTGAGGCCCGCATGCCTAGAGCCCGTGCTCTGCAACAAGAGAAGCCACCGCAATGAGAAGCCCGCGCACCGCAACGAACAGTAGCCCCCGCTCGCCACAACTAGAGAAGGCCCGTGCACAGCAATGAAGACCCAACGCAGCCAAAACTAAATAAATAAATTTATTTAAAAAAAAAAACAGCCTAATGCATATGGAAAGTCCATATGAATGTAGCATTATAAGAATTAATCTTTTGTCATAATTTTATTAAGTTGAATACATGATTTTACATAATTTTTTCTAATGAAATGATATTAGTTATCCAAGCAATAAAACCAGTAGAGGGAATTTAGGAAATGCAAAATAATTAGGCATTTCCTGGGACTTGTATAAACTAGAATATAATGCTAGCATTTTTACATGGTGGTAAAATCAGAGAGAAGACATATAGTAGTTTTTAAACTAAAATTGTGAAAGCAATCTAATTTGTCAAAGAGTGATCTTGATTAGAAATAATACGAATTTTTTCATGTGTAATTAGATAGCAGATATTAAATTTCAGTTATTTTGAAACTAATTTTTTGCTTTGTATCATGTAACCTAGTCACTGAGGCCATTACATTTATATAAATGCCAATCCACCAATTCAGTTTCTAAAGTATTGGAAACGGGAGGTAACGTCACTATGCGTTGATATGCTTGTAATCTGATTTATTAATTCCTTCTGGATGTGGAAAAGGTTTATCAGTAGATTTGTCTAAAAAAATTAATAAAACAAAATTTATAGTTAAAGATATTTTTGCAAATATTCCTTGTCTTCAGGTGTTGGGATGTGTATGACAGAACACAGAGATCTTGGTCCAGCCGCCTTAGAGTCACAACTTGTGTGCTTGCTCCATATGCAAAAGATGTGTGGCACATGGTGATGTAAGGGAGCCCTGTATGGAAACACATGACAGATATCTTGATAACTAAGTACCAGGTCCTTCTTACTATTTGGGGTGTTTTTTCTCGTTGTCTAGTTCTCCTGACAGAAGTCAGCAGTCTGGCATGACATCATTAACTATTGTCTCTGGCTGTTTTAGCGGTTTGCTGCTGTAATCATGAGAATAAGAGAGCCCCGGACCACTGCACTGATATTCAGTTCTGGGAAGATGGTGTGCACAGGAGCCAAGAGGTGGGTTTAAAGGAGTTCATTGTCCTGGTCTGTATGTTATGAAAGAAATGGCTGTGTCATGGTTTCTAGGTGTTAGGCTAATACTTTAATAAAATGTTATTGTTGCTTTCTTATTAAAATAGTTGATTCTCATCACTTTTAGACAGCAGTAACTTCATTTTCTTAAAACCAGGCATTAGTTTAGGGTGTATGCTATCACCTTATTTCCATACAATTCAGCATGTATGCATGCCTCATTTTTGTCATTCATGACCCTGCACTTGAGAACCTTTTGTCGACGATGATACTGCTATCATTATGCTTTTGTTACATGAGCCCTGCTCTGCTAAGTCATAGTTTTGTCCAAGAGATGACTTCTAGGAATGGATAAAGAAAGACTTGGCGTAAAAGAGGAATTAGCGTATGCATTCTTTGAGTATAAGTCTCATCATTATTTTCCTATCCAAATGAAGCTTGTTAGTTTTCATCTCAGTAGAAATTTGTGAGCTAAAATACAATAATATTAATGATAATGGTGATGATGATATTATGTTTCACACGTATAAAATCTAGGGCTGTTGGGACTTCTCTGGTAGCCCAGTGGCTTAAGACTCTGTGCTCCCAATGCAGGCGGCCTGGGTTCGATCCCTGGTCAGGGAATTAAGTCCCATACGTGGCAACTAAGAGTTTGCATGCCACAACTAAAGATTCCACATGCCGCAACTAAAGATCCCGTGTGCCGCAATGAAGATCCCGTGTGCTGCAACTAAGACCCGGCATAGCCAAATAAATAAATAACTTTTTTTTAAAAAAAAATCTAGGGCTATCAGTAATTTGGTGAATTGAAGAGGGATTCATTTTGGTAGGCCTAAGTTTTCTGTCAAGGACACAGGAATACTTTGTACATAAAACTGTTAATGTCTGTTGAGCTTTTCTTTATTGGAAGGGGTGACCAGTTTACACTTTATAAAATATCTTTCCTAATTTGGACTTTTTATAAGTTTTTCATCTAAATAATTATTTTAGGTGTCTTTGAGTATGAATATTTCACTTTTTCTTTCCCTAGTGAAGAACAGTCCAGACTAGCAGCAAGAAAATATGCCAGGGTTGTACAGAAGTTGGGTTTTCCAGCTAAGTTCTTGGACTTCAAGATTCAGAATATGGTGGGGAGCTGCGATGTGAAGTTCCCTATAAGGTTAGAAGGCCTTGTGCTTACCCACCAACAGTTCAGTAGGTGAGTCTGAAATGGATTGTGATTGCTTTTGGCAACAAGTAATTTATAATCTATTTAAACATTGTTCATGATAAAACATGTGCAAACTAATTAGTATGTAAGAACAAATGATATACTTATAGGTATATTTAATGTTGAAGTGTCTTCCTGATGTCTTTGGTAACACCTATTATTCTCACCAGCCTCCTACTTCCCTGTCATTTCACTTAACGACACCCAAAAGTCCCCTTTACTGGGATGAAATTGATTCCCCTTCTGTATGTTTTATCATTTTATTGCTCACTAAATACATTTTAAATACATGAACAAAGTCCACAACATCTTGTATCAGTTTTTTCCCCAGTTGTTTGAATCTTTTGTGCTAGTCAACATTTATTTTCCCTGCTACTTCCTGATGAAGACTTACAAGGCAGGTGGTCCCTACCCACCTCTCCAGCCTCTCTGCTCGTAGCACCCCCAAGGCTTATCATGCCCTTATTGCACCAGGGCCCTTGCACATCCCACTTTTATACCTGGCACACTCTTATATCACTTTTCACCTAGGAAAGTCCCACTGGCATTTCACATATCCACCCTAGCATCTCTTCCTCAGAGAAGCCTATCTTGAATTTTCCACTAGGTTAAACAGAGTCACACATCCTAACTGTTTTCAATCTCTCTAACTAAGAAAATGAGACTACTAGGATTAGAATAAAACATACCAATAGTGCATTTAGTTAGACAACATAGTCAGGGAAAGATTCAGTCTCCAACTAGTATCTTTTCTATCACTTTGGTTAAATTGCCTGAACAAAGTTAACAGCTAGAGATATTTCAGTTTAAGGAGATGAGATGTGAATGATTGGAAGGTAAACTGTGACTGTCAGATCTTATAAATGAATGATTATTGGGCTCTTGTAAGTCGGTGTAAACTTGTCCAGAATGAAACTTGATAAAGGTCAGAGACTATAGAACATATTTATAAAGCTCTTGTTCTTATGTCAGGAAATCCAGATTCATTAGAAATAGAGTTAGTTGGTCTTCAAGTGCCAGTTACAAGTTGGCCTCACTTGAGCCCTCTCTCCTGTGATGCTCCTCAAGAATTGGGCTTCACCTCCTCATTAGTTTGCTGCTTACTCAGTACTTTCCCTTGTTCAGGTCCCCATTTTTTCTAAAGGCATGAGCAGCTGTTAATTTCTAAACTGTTTTTGCCATTTTCCTTCTAGTTATGAGCCAGAGTTATTTCCTGGTTTAATCTACAGAATGATCAAACCGAGAATTGTTCTCCTTATTTTTGTTTCTGGAAAAGTTGTATTAACAGGTAAGTTGCAACAGGAAGTAGTGTTCGAAGTTTGGAAAGTGTGAAGAATGGCATTTTCTCAGTGCTAAGAAGTAATATCACAGTGTCGGGACAGTTGACTAGTGACTTGTAAAGAAGCTTTGCCCCTTTTTTGTCTTCCCCTGACCCCAACACTCTGATGGGAAACACACCCACCAGAGGGAGTGAGCTGAGGGAAGTCAGAGCACAGCCCTGCTGGTTCTTCAGCTGAAGCATGACCTTGGTGGGGAAGGGGGAGGTGGGCATTACAGCATAACAGATGGCGTTTTAAGTTGGGTACCATTGTCTAAAACTTTGGGGTTCATCACCATTATCATTTTGCGACAACAAAGGCAGATTCAAAAGAGCTTGTTTGAAGGCAGCGATTGGGAGAATAAGATTCAGCCACTCTGACTGCTGCCCTGCTGGGTTCTGACACAGTCCAGAGCCCAACACCAGTCACATGGGCAGACTGGGGAAGGAGGCTGGAGTCACCTGGGGCGCTGCTTTTGTAATTTTTTTAAGAAGCCAACTTAAAAAAATACCACCTTAAAAACAAAAATAGGATTATGACAAGGGTCCATCGTTAATGTTTTAATGCATCTGTCTTACTAGGTTTGGAGAGAATTGTGCTTGTGGTTTTATGTTAAGAAATGCCGTTTCACACTCTTCTCTACTCCAACTTGTCTTCATAGGTGCTAAAGTCAGAGCAGAAATTTATGAAGCCTTTGAGAACATCTACCCTATTCTAAAGGGTTTCAGGAAGACAACGTAATGGCTGTCATGTACTCCTGCCTCCCCCACCCACTTGTTTTTTTTAAAACAAATCAGTTCTGGTACATTTAGTGGTGTTGTGGACGGCCCCATGTGATGAGAGGATGGATGTCTGGTTGTAGGTTGCAGCACGAGGTGAAGCTCCCCTGCATGTGTACCCCGTAGGGATGCCAGGAAGGGGGCGTTATTTCTGCACAGAGATCACCGAAGTGTTACTGTAAGTTGCTCGAACTGTGCTGCTATTTGGGCAGCGCTGCCCGTTTATTTATATTTAGATTTTAAACACTTACTGCTGTTGACAAGTTGGTTTAAGGGACAAAACTTTAAGTGTTAAAGCCACCTCAACAATCGATTGGACTTTATTTTGTTTAATTTCTTCCCCATAAACCACAGTTTTTATATTTCTACCAGAAAAGTAAAAATCTTTTTAAAAAGTGTTGTTTTCTAATTTGTAACTCCTAAGGGTTATTTTTGTGCCACATTCCGCCTTTCCAGTATTGCAGGACAGAATAGAAATGTATTAATGAAAACAAATGGCTGTACATATTTTTCTTCCTTCAGAGTACTCTGTACAATAAATGCTGTTTATAAAAGTGTTAGATTGATGTTATAAATGAAACTTTGTAAGATTCATGTGATCATACTGTTTAAAAAGTCGTATTTTAGATATAATGCCTGAAACCATTTCAGTGTGTTTGCTTGCTTGTTGTTTGTTTCAATCAACATTTCATTGTATGTTGCAGTGAAAATGGAAGAATTGTCTGAAAATTTTAAGTTGCTCACAAAACATGTTTATTACGTCCCATACGTTGAGCACCTCCCGTTTCCCAGATATGTTGCCTTCTCACAAAAGCTGCAGTTAGGTTTTGTTCCTCTTTCACAAGTAGGGTAAGGTAGGCCCCAGCTGAGGGTCAGCCCAAGGTTACAGAGCCCGTTAAGTGGCAAACACGGGCTCTAAGCCAAAGGCCTTCAGTGTTAGAGCTGGTTGTCCACTGACTGGTGAGGTGTGTTTTTCTCATGAATATCAGGTGAGCACGTGTAAGTTCTTGGGGTTCATTGTTCGGGCATGTGTTTTTCTTTTTAATTGTAAAAATATTTTTTCAGAAACCAGAAAGTTTCTTCCTTCCTCTCCCTTCTGTCTGTTTCCCTAGGTTAACTACCAGATTGGTGGGTACCTCCCCAGCCCTCTTCTGTTCAGGTTTTTTTCTTTTGGGGGTGCTTTTGTTATCATATTGAAAAAAATAGTAAAGCATATGTTTGATTTTATAGCTTCCTTTTTTTTTTTTTTTTTTTGCGGTACTCGGGCCTCTCCCTGTTGTGGCCTCTCCCGTTGCGGAGCACAGGCTCCGGACGTGCAGGCTCAGCGGACATGGCTCACGGGCCCAGCCGCTCCGCGGCATGTGGCATCTTCCTGGACCGGGGCACGAACCCGTGTCCCCTGCATCAGCAGGCGGACCCCCAACCACTGCGCCACCAGGGAAGCCCCTATAGCTTCCTTTTTTTAGTCACTATATCATACACATTTTTCCATGACAAACATACTGCCATGAAATGGAATCTGATGGTGCCACATGATGTAATCTGATGGTTACACAACTTTATATATTTAACCATTTCCGTAATTATGGTCATTTATGTTACCTGTAGTGTTTTACTATTATAAACAGGTGCTGCAGGGAACATCCTTTTATGTGTATTTGTGGATAAGTACAGGTATTTCTGTAGTAACATGCCTAGAAGAGGAGTCACTGTATTAAGAGCATTTATACATTCTAGGTTTTGATAGATCCATACCAGGTTACAGTCCAGAGAGAACATGGTGTATGAGGTACCCTTTTCTTGCATTTTCCAGTCATCAGTGATGTCAGTAATGTATGGATGAATCGGAAAGACATCAGTCCAGTATAATCTCCTTCTATTCAAGAAAGAATTGTTTCCCCATGTGTGAGTCTTCCTTTAGGTTCTTCAGTAAAGTTTCATAATTTTTTTCATATAGGGCTTTACATTACATAAAAGTTAATTCCTAAGTATTTTAGTTCATTATTAATGGCATTTTTCATAAGACTTTAAAATTATTGCTGATAGATTTATTTCCAGTCACTTTACTGAATTCTTGTTACTCCTTATGCACCAGTCCAGCAACACCACCCACCCAAATAACCATTATCCTTTTACAGTAATTACCTAAACACCAATATAGGTTAGTCTTCCATTTTAATAAATTGATGTTTTTATGTCTGCTTTATTCCTTAAGTTCCCCTGCCATCTCAAATTTATAGGCTGTTTGGCTGGTAGTTTCTTACAGTCTGTCTTGCTATTTGCAAACTCAGGATGGTGCAGCCAGCATGTCCCTCTGTTCTCTGCATTTCCTGCCGGTGGGTGACTGCATCTAAAGGCTTGATCTCTTTGTAAAGACTGTAAGTAGTGTTTGTTAGGGATTTAATGTCTGATTGGCGTCTTCTGATTGATCCACTAATTCATTAGTGGGTTGCAAAAGATAAAATTCTAATTATTTTTTTCATGATTTGTTAGAATACTTTTTTATATAGTTATATACTTCTTTCACATAGCAGGATAAGTTCTTGCTTCTTTCCCTTTAAAAGTTTTCAAGATAAAATACCTCATGAGTTCGTACTAATATATCCAATCCAGATTCAGACTACAGGGTTTTTATTTGATCAGTTCTATATTACGTATTTTACGCTGAGAACCCTTAATTTTTAAAGACACGTGGGATGATGAGTTAGTTAGAATAACAGAACACTACCACTAATATGAATATCAAAAGCACTGAAACATTTTTTCTTTGCTGTGATCTCTGAATTGTCAAAGGATGATGAGACCAGCATTCAATGTATCAAAAAGGGACAGGTGACTGCACTGCTCTCTACAGTAGGGTGAGCTGCCTGGTCAGGCAGTATCTGGGCCAAGCAGAGGTTTGGGGGACAGCATGCATGGGTTGGCAGTAGTGATTGATGTCCTCCGCAGGAGCAGCTGCTGGGTGAGATGTGTCGGTCATTTCATGGTTGGCATGAAGGTTTTTAAATGTCTTGACATATCTAGAGGCAACTGAGTTGCTTTTTTTATTTATCTAAATTTTCTTATTTTTGTTTTAGTTATTTTCAACTAATTGCTTTTTTTGGACATGGTTGCCAAGTCAGTGCTGGAAGTCTGTCTCCAAATGGAAATGCCCGGTGAACTTGCTGTCATCTCCAGACCTTGGCAGGGATACACACCTAAAGGATAGCTTGGTGGGTTACCAACATGCCTGCAAGAATGTCTACATAATCTGGGGATCTCTCCAAATAGACAGACCCTAAACAATTTGCTTAAAAAGTCCTTCGCAGTCAGGATGCTGTCCTACTGGGGCAAACTTCTGATTTATAGTTTGGGCTATGAAGGCCCCACTAGTCCAGTATTTTATGTATCTTTATATAAATTACATACATATCCACACACACGTGATATGGACTAAAAGGCCAGGCTTTCCTGATAAAAAACTATAGTGAAATAGCCAAGTCAGTGATATTAGCAAGTGATATTACCTCCAAAAAGATGTGTTTATGGTGGCAGTGCATTTCAGGGTTAGCAGGGATGTTACCAGAACTAGCTGCTGGTCTTCACGCAGTGATCAACAGCAATGTCTCCAAGTTTGCCTTCGCAGCAGTGAAGCCTGCCCAGCACCAAGAGAATTGGGAATTATCACAAGTATAAATCACCTGGGGCTGGAAGGAGCCTTAGCGTGGCTGGTGGCATTGATTCAGGAACCGCTTGTGTAAACAGAGGCATCGGAAACAATATCCCTCACTTGAAAGCTACCTCAGAGCCTTCCCTCAGGCTGACCCAGGGAAATTCCCGTGGCTGATTCCCTGTCCTTATTTGGGTTTACTTGCCATGTGGACAGTGCTGTGAGATGGGGAGATGGAAAGAGAAGACCTTTCAGTCTCTGGTCTATAAGCAGTGCCACTGGCTGACCAAAGTCAGTTTTGAAGTAGAGCTTCTCTTTGAACTCAGGAAGTCTCTTGGGGTTTTACCCAAATATTTTTCTCCTTGTTTTAACTTTGCAAATTTTAGGGGAGAAATGCTCTTGAGTGATGGTTTGACTTAATTAGGCACATAACCCATTTTTATTATAGAAAGAAATATACATATAAGTAAAAAGATCATGTCACTTAGTCCCACTGTTCAGTTAACCAGTTCACACCTAGTGCATTTCATTCCAGATATTTTTGGTGTATATACATGTGTATAAATATTTTTACAAAAATAGCATACTATGAATACCATCTACAATGGTACCTTGGCATCTTTATCTTACTTGATGTGCATATAAGTCTGTATCATTAAGACTGTGTAGCCTCCTGCTGGACAGATACACAACACCTAAAACAACATCTTTGTGTATCTCTGGTATAATTATTTCCTTAGGATAAAGTCCTAGAAATGGAATTGGAAGGTCTAAGAGATGATGAATATTTTGAGGCTTCACACAGTTGTCTTTAGGCAGTATCTGTTATATCTTGCTTCCAAACAAATTCCTCTGTGTAGCCAGTGCCCAGGCCACAGCTTTCAGCACAGGTGAAGACGGCCAGGACGCCCCAGTCGACACTCCTGCCCAGTCTGTCGGCCTTCAGGTAGTTGAGCAGATGAGGCATGACCTGGGAAAAGGATGGCACAGTCAGAGCGCTCCTTGGCGGTGATGAGCACAGTCTGCTTTCAACAGACCAGACCTTCCTGGGGATCCTGGTCTCTCCATCTCCACACTCCACAGCAAGATTAAAGACATTAATGGTGTTAACATACTTAACAATCTAAAAATACTTTGCAACTCTATGTTTCTTTAAAGTCCCTCTCTATTTGGTGTCTTTCTTTTTCGTTTAAGAAAGAAGTTCCTAAGTATAATAAGATCAGCTGATCTATTTGACCTGGCTGTTAACCTAATTATTTTTTTATTAATAATATGCCACAAAATAGGGATGAGGCTTCTCTTTGGGCAACTCTTATTTTGGGTTATTTACAACCTGAATAGCAGATGCTGTTACTATGACTCTGAAGAAACACTAACCTAGTAGAATACAAAAAGGAAATCTATTGATGTATTTGTATAGACTAGAAATGGGTCTTAGGAGTCAGTGGTCTCATGGGAAAGAGTAAGAGCCAGCACTGCCACTACTGTTATCAAATTGCTTTATACAACCACCGTCAGCTCATCTTGGGCGTCAGTCAGAGCTCTGGCAGTAAGAACCAATTAGTTTTGGATCAGTCCACAAAAATCCTTTTTTTTATCCTAAGAAACAAATATCACTTTATAAGGTTAGTGAATCCACAATTCAGGAGCATTTCCGCCCAACCCAAACGGATTTTGATGCTAACAACTTCTTGTTGGGGGGGCGGTTACCTTAATGATTACATTAATTTGTTCTCCTAACAAATCTACAAACCAAGACTAAACAGAGTAAGCGTTCTGAAACACTCTCACAAAGGAGAGAGTCAAATATTGTAAAAAAGGTATATTATTTTAAATTATAAAGGTAACAATAGAGGCACTAAAATAATATTGACCCTAACCACACTGGGAAGTGGGCAATGGTCTAGATGGTGTGAGTGACTACATTTAAATCCTCACTACTGCAGAAGTCAGTCAACAGATGTCTAAAAAACTAGTAAACTGATAAATCTCAGAAAAAGCATGCTATTTAAAGATAGAAATAACTACCAGATAACCAGTAAAAGATAATTCCCTCCTTGTAACAAGCCCTAAGGTGGGGTAGGAAACTACTGATTTTCATTATAGGGAACCTTCCATAACACCATAGGGACCCATACACATATGTTACTTTGGCAAAGTTTTTTAATGCTTAAAATTATAAATCAGGGTAATTACATACTAAAATAGTACTTATTTAAGGTCATACCTGGAATTCAAATATTCTCTTGGCACCACAGGGGCAATCTGGAATATCCTTTTCTTGAGGGATATTTTCACCAGAGATCCAGATGGGGGCAATCCCTCTGCCGTATCTGAGAATCTAAAATCAATAAGGATCAGTTTCAATCACCAACATCTCATGTGATCTGAGGATCATCTAGAGAAGCTTTGTACGTACTCTTACGATTGATGAAACGCTCATCTGAAAACCACTTTACTGTCTGTCCCCCTGCGCCCCTCCACTGGGCACAATTAAGACCGTTCTCAGTGTCATCAAAGGCAGCGGTGCCCAACCTTTTTGGCACCAGGGACTGGTTTTGTCTCGTGAAAGACAATTTTTGCACGGACAGGGAGGGGGAAGGGGGTGGTTCTGGCGTGAATGCGAGCGATGGGGAGTGGCAGCTGAAGCTTCACGGTACCGGTCCTTGGCCCAGGGTTTGGGGCCCCTGATCAAAGGGACTGTTTCAGCTTATCTGATTCAGGATATCCAAATTATTTTTCTTAGATGTCAATATGGTTAGAATCTGAATCCTATGACTATTTTGTGAAGAGACTAACAATAATCCTATTTCCCCATCACCAGGTTGTCAATCTAACATGCAGCCCAGGGTCTGTGCTTACCTTCACACAGATATAAGGAAACTTAGTTAACAATTTTTAAAGGAACAAATACCAAGTGAGCCACAGTGTTTAAATAAAACAGAAGTAAATTTTGTTATAACATCTTATGTAACAAATGAGTGACCTTCCTCAATATTTCTTGTTAAAAGCATATGTGTTGCTAAAAACTACCTTCTCAGTATTTAGGACCTAGACCTACTCTTCCTATAAGCCCCTGGATGTTGATTTGCTCTAGCGACTGGCTTATGGGAATTTAGCTGTCTTCTTTAGTGATTTATGTTTATGGTAAGGGAAGTTAAGGGGAATAAAGTTAATGGAAGAAAAGAGGCAAAGGGAAGCATTTGCTGAATACTTACTGTGAGTCTACAATCTACCTTAATCCTCGAAACCACTCTTTTTTTTTCCCCACACCGTAGATACAATTACATCAGAAGGTCAATATGTAATTCAAGAAGCCAGAATTCTTCATAACAGCAAAACGCATTATTCTTTTCACAAAACCACAGTGGTCTTTGTGCTAATGTTGCAGGTTGGTTTCTTAGTTCCCCAACCAGGGATCAAACCTGGGCCCCCAGCGATGGAAGTGCAGAGTCCTAACCACTGGACTGCCAGGGAATTCCCTACTCAGGGTTTATACCCCTAAACCACCACCTGAAAAGAACAGAAGGAGCTGTAAATGAATTCTATTTTACCTGTTCTGGTTCAGAGGATATTTTGGTTTTAAACTTCTGGAAAATTCTATCTTCCCTAGATTCATGTTTTGCCATGGAATCCAGTTCTTCCTCAGGTGTTTCACCTAAAAAATTATCAACATAACTATTATGCAACAGGAATAATCTCCATGTCTGGACAATAAACACATGCTGAGGGAAGCCAGTTTTAAACAACCAACTTAGTGTTAAATCAGACAGTGAAGGCCAGATGTTTCTACAGGCTTTCCTATTTTAATTCATTAATGTTTGTGCTTTAAGACCATCTGACTTTGCAGGTACTCCATGAAGCATTATTACTATGCCGGCTCCTAGTAAGAGCTTCTCTTTAAAACTCCAAATTAAAAGAACAGACCCCAAATCCCAGTCTGAGGACTGCTGTGCCCAGCACACAAAAGGGCACCCAAAAAATATGAGCCCTGCTTATCACTAGTGTCCTTCACCCATCTGGACTCTTACTTCCAATCTCTTCATGTTTCATCTCTCCTTTCCCTTACACTCATTCAGTCATCACATGCCCTAACCCTACCAGCTCACTCCTTCACACTCACCTCTGGAATCTCAGCTACCTGAAACACCACCATCCCCAACAGGATCGAGTCTTTGTAACTCAGAAGATATTTCTGATACCCTGAATGTGAACTGTAAGCCAGTAAGCTGACATTCTAATCCAAAATTTAATTTAGATTCTGAAATCTACATTTTGGCTCAAGTTTTGGAGTAAGACGTGAGCTCAGACTTCAGTTCTAGAACTTAACAACTTTAGTCAGTTATACGACCAAGCAAGTTATACCCAGAACCTCAAATTCCTCACTGCAAAATGGGGCAGAGTTTCTAACATATTGTTCTGATGTCAAGACTTTAGTAAGATCATGCACAAAAGGCCCGTGGTACAGAGTAAGTGTTGGATCAATTTTGGCTACGGCTCAGTCTCAGCACAGGCACTGCTCCAGAGTATGATAACCTTGAAGTAACTGATGAAATCAAGTATCTGAAACTTGCCAGATAAAAGGGCCCCCTGCTGCCCACCAAACACTGCTAGGCACTCTCATGTCCACCATCTCAATCAGAGAAACAAATCCTGGAGCCAGATAAACTTTCCAAGTTTCCAGCATCCTGTGCAGCCCCACCCAACTGACCACCTGGATACTTCCTCTGACATGTTTACAGGAACCAGAACGTTCCTGTATATGCCAAGGAGGGAAGTACAGAACGGATATCTTCAAATGAGGCAATATTTGAAAAGTATAGGTTGCAGCCTCCCAAGTGAGTTGCCTTTTCCTATCAGTGCTTCTCTTCTTGGCATCTTGAGCCCTTCCTTTCAAGCATTATATTTAATCACTTAATGAAAGAGGTTTTTTATTCTTTTTTTTTTTTTACATTTCTATTGCTTATTACTTTATTGGCCCCATGTCTGAGGGAGCAGAGACAGTGTGGATCAATGGCATGCACTGTCCAGTTTAGATACAGCATGGTTTCATTTCACTGGACACTCAATACAGGGAGTTCTCTCTCACCTGTTATTGGAAATTTTCTATCAGACTCCTTCATCAGTGAATTCTTCCCCAAAGCACACTCTCTAACACTACTACCCACCAACAAACATAGCATCCCTCTCCCTAGGTGCTTTTAAACATCTGGCACTGAATCTTCTCATATGTTAGTTAAAAAGAAAAACGTTTTTTGTCTTAGCAATGATCTAAGACGGGTGTCTCCAAACTGGTTCTCTAATCCCTAGGTCTCCATGGCAGGCCGTCAGTGTCCCCTGAAATGGGTGACAACATGTCCCTTGAGGCTGGAATGTTGGGACACTTGACCCTCTACTTTCTCTCTGCTTCAACTAGATTCACTATTCTTCCCCCCACCTTTTTCCTTTTTTTCCTTATACATATATCCCCTTTTATAGATTTCCTTCCTATTTAGTTCACCACAGAGCACTGAGTGGAGTTCCCTATGCTATACAGTAGGTTCTCATTAGTTATCTATTTTATACATAGTAGTGTATATTTAATGAATGAGTTTTGAAACTGATTCCTTACCCATGCTACCTATAATCTCTGATTCATCATCTTTTCCCACAACTTCAGGCATAATCTCATCTTCTGTTTCTATTACAATTTCAAATTCTGGAAAAAGGAAGCTGTGGTCTGGAACTGTACTGTCCAAATCACCTGAAACAAAGTAAGGTAACTAGCATCATTAGTAATCATTTAGTTTGGAAGGTCAAATAATTTCCTATATCTGAAGTGTATTCCATGTCATAACAGTTTTCCCTAGTAATTAACATATGTAGCTCCAGCATTTTAGATTATGGCTCATAAATTAAATGACTATACTAAAGCTAGGCTGGGACGTGAGTGGGCAAGACCTCACGGTTCCTTCTTCATAAAGGTGTTTATGTCACTAGTTAACCAAAGCTTTGAAAAGTATTACACCTTTTGTAATGTTAATGTTTATCCTCAAAATGAAAGATTTGGCCTGACAGACACTATGAAACTGAGCTGAGATTTAAAAATAAAAACAGAATTGACTGACCTTCTTGTGTACAAGCCTGCTTATGTCCCAATCTCCAGTCCAGAGTCTGATGCTCCTTGCTGCAGTAATGTGCCTTGTGACATCGGGAGCATGTTTTGGGGCCTAAACAGCCACAAACTCTGCAGAGATGAGCACCGGACTCGAGCTGGAGGCACACGGATTCTCCTGTCTCCAGCGGGGGATCCTCAGAAGGTGGCTCATAGGCATAGAAGTCATTTCTCCTAGGCAACTGATTTCTAAAAACTAAGGAGAGAGAAGGAGAAACGTTACACATGTTTTAAATAAAACAACATAGCAATTCAAATATTTGAGCCTTCACTCCACACAGGACTGAAAAGACAGTCATTTTTTAAAAAGAAAAATAGAAAGTTTTTGCTTTCAAAAAGCTTATTTGCTGGAAAGGAAGAAAAAATAAGAGTGAAAACGAGAAACTTTTTAAAGTCCATACAACTAAGTAGGCTCTTTGAGCTTGTTCAAATTAGTAACAAAAGTAACATTAAGTCAGACTACATACATATGAGCAACGTGTTGGAACCCAGGTTTCCGAAAAATTACAGGTTCTATCATCTGAACACCTACTACCGACTGATTAACAAAAAGCTGGGGTCGAAGAAGGCGCGAGCCCTTGGAACTCATCCCCACCCCCGGAAACGCTCGCGGGGTACAGGGGAGAGGCCCGCGGCGGGGTCGCAGAGGAGGCTGCACGGTCCCTGGGCCCTGACCGCGAGCAAGGCAGCGCACGCGCGACCGGGGCCGCAGGCCTCTCACCGCGCACGCGCTACCCGGGCCCCGGGCCGCTCACCGCGTAGGCCGGCGCAGCACGGTGGCGTTCGGCAGCAGAAAAGGAAGAGACCGCGGTGGAAGGCGTCGGCGCGGCCCGGAAGCGGTGCGTACAGCTGCAGCAGGAAGGCCAGTGGGCGGCCGCACAGCGCGCAGGCCAGCCCCGCGGGCCCCGGCAGCCCGGCTGCGCCGAGCCACGCCGGCCGGCCGCCCACCTTACTGGGGAACTGCTCGCTGCGCAGCCGCCACGCCGGCGCCGCCTCCACAAAACCCAGCTCAGCCAGCCCGACGCTCCCGGATGCCATAGGCGCAGGAATTAGGCCCCTCGACCTGCCGCCCCGCCGCCGACAGCGGAAGTCGCCGCGGAAGCGCGGAGGACGGCCAGCCAGAAGCAATTGGACGGCAGTGGAGAGGGGGCGGGGCCATGGGGAGGCCTGGCGTGGGCCGGCTTCGTTGTCCCTGACTTACGATTGGTTGCTGGGGCAGGGGCGCGAAGCCGCTTGAGTCCCCGGGGGTCACGTGGAGGTCTTGGAGGGCGTTTAGGTGAGCTAAGTGCAGCGGAGCGCGGGCTCTCTGACTTCCTCACGGCCTGGGCACGTCCAGCAGACGCTGTTGAACGCTCTGGGTCTGGGAGCACATATCCGCTCACCTAGGGGCGGATGACCGCAGTCGCCTCCTGAGCCCTGGAGGCGGGGCTGTAGGGTGGCGGGGAGAGGCAGGGTGGAGATGCTGAAAGATTCAGAAATGTCATTGGCCCAGTTGGTCCAGGAAAGGGACGGAGGGTGGCGTGAAGGGTGCAGTTAGGGAGAGGGTTTAGGATGGTGGGGAAGGGATAAGCTTAGGGGTTAGGGCCTAGAGTTAAGGGTTAGGAGTTAGGTTTGGGTTTAGGGATTGGGCCAAGGGCTAAGAGTTGGGGGTTAGTGTTGTAAAAATTAATAAGCAGAAACCTCAATTAAATAGGACGGGGAGACCAGAACGGAGAGCTCTCATGCGTTACCGCAATTGCGGAGCCCCACAGTGAGAAGAAAGACTCTCATTTCCTGGCCTCAAGAAAGGACTGAGCCAGGACTCAAGGACTCAGCCAATAAAAAGTTGTGTACTGTTTGCTATAGCCCGTTCAGGGTCCTCTTCCTTTCTGCAGAGGTGTTTCCTTCCCTTGACTCATGGGGATGCTCATGTGCCTTGCTGTGGTTGCAGACCTCCAAGTTGTGATTTTCTCCCGATCCTGAGAATAAACCCATATTTGCTGGAGAAATATCTGGCTGTCTGTTTGTTTCAGGTCAACACCAGGAAAACTAACTCAGGAAATGACCTAATCTCCCTTACATACCATCTTCAGTTAAAAAACAAAAGGTGTTGGGAGAGGGGGGAAGCCAGTTAAAGGAGGTCATCAGGCAGTGCATAGTAAACAAGGGTATGTTTGTTATGTAGATTTAAGTCCAGGCCTTCTCCATAGGTAAAAGTTTCTTGAGCTTCAGTTACCCTATTCCTGGTACAGAGAGGGAGACACCCTTTCAAATGGAGATTTACCTCATAAATTCCCCTCACAGAGGGAAACACTACTTGGTTTTCTGAGCTCTTGTGTGCTTTTTTTAACCCTAACTGTAACCCTAACCCTACCCTAACCCTAACCCTAACCCTAACCCCGCGGTGCTCAGGGTCTAGGACAGGTAGAGGGAGAATTTAAAAGGTAGAAGGCAGAGCGTTATGTTGGGGTGGGTTCAACATCCACCCCAGTAAATCAGAAGCAGGAGGTTAACATATCCTGGGGGGAGAGAGACCCTGTGGACAGAGGTCCTGGGGGTGCACTGATCATAACCCCCTGAGGTCATATGTGCCTGTCTGACAGGAGGTCCTATATGTGGGCCACCTGTGCGTGAGGGGGTCGAAGTTGGGTTTGGACACAGAGTTGATGAAATGTGCTGGTACCTCCCTTTGTGGAAATGTTTTCGAATCACAGGGAAGCTGAGAGTCTTCTGGATGTTCTCTTTGTCAAGAAAAATAAATAAGATATAGGAACTTGATGGACACATCCCTAGTGACTGATGATATCCCATCTGCAAATAGACAATGTAACTTTCTCATTTGTTGGCTGCACTGAGAATATGAGAATTCAGAGACAGAAAAAACTTGAAATGTCCCTTGGGGCAGCTGAACGTCGTGGAGAGGTAATTCTCAATCCCAACCGAAACCACCTTCCCTGCCACCCGCTGCACCGGCTCCTGGGACTAGTCTCTGAGCTCCCCTACAGCCCAGCCCCTCCTGTCTCCCTGCAGAGAGGTTTGTGTCTGGGCTCACACTGACTTCCTCTCACTGTCTCTTGCACAGTAATACACGGCTGTGTCCTCGGTGGTCACAGAACTCAGCTGCAGGGAGAACTGGTTCTTGGACGTGTCAGCAGTGATGGAGATTCGGCCTTGGAAAGCAGGTTGTAGCTTGTACTCCCTGTCCAGTACCCCATCCACTCCAACCCTTCCCCAGGGCGTGGGCAGATCCAATTCCAGTAGTAACTGCTGGTTACAGAGCCCCCGGAGACGGCACAGGTGAGGGACAGGGTCTGTGAGGGCTTCACCAGTCCTGGGCCAGACTTTGCAGTGTCAGATCAGACAAGACACCTGAGAACAAGGAGAATCAGTCCCTCTTATACACCTGAAGCCACAATCATCCCCATAGACCGGCCCTGAACCTGAGACACTCACCTTGGGGATCCGTCACCAGGCAGAGGAAAAGACCCCACAGCTGCATCTCCTAGACCAGAGCTCTGCCTCCCCCAGAGACCACAGCCGTGCCTGAGGAGAGAGCTTTGAGCTCCCGCTACGCAAGGGTTAGGGTTAGGGTTAGGGTATGGGTACAGGAAAGGGTACGGGTTAGGGTACGGGTTAGGGTATGGGTTAATGTTAGTGTACGGGTTAGGTTTAGGGTAAGGCTTAGGGTAAGGGTTAGGGTTACGGTTAGGGTTAGGGTTAGGGAACGGGTACGGTTCATGGTACAGGTTAGGGTACGACAATGGGTTAGGGTTAGAGTACATGTTAGGGTATGGGTTAGTGTTAGTGTACGGGTTAGAATTCGGGTACGGCTTAGGGGAAGGCTTAGGGTAAGGGTTAGGGTTAGGGTTAGGGTTAGGCTTAGGGTTAGGCTTAGGGAATGGGTACGGTTTAGGATAAAGGTTAGGGTACGACAACAGGTTAGGATTAGGGTACGTGTTAGTGTTAGTGTATGGGTTAGGACTAGGGTACGGTTTAGGGTGAGGCTTAAGGTAAGTGTTAGGGTTAGTGTTAGGGCTAGGGTTAGGATTAGGGTTAGGGAATGGATACGGTTTATGGTACAGGTTAGGGCAAGACAGCACGTTAGGGTTAGGGAACCTGTTAGGGTTAGGGTTAGGGTAAAGCATAGAGTAAGGGTTAGGGTTAGGGTTAAAGAACGGGTATGGTTTCGGGAACAGGTGAGAGTACGACAATGGCTTAGGGTTAGGGAATGTGTTAGGGTAAGGGTTAGTGTTAGTGTACGGTTTAGGATTAGGGTATGGTTTAGGGTACAGGTTAGGGTAAGACAACGGGTTAGGTTTAGGGTTATGTGTTAGGGTACGGGTCAGTGTTAGTGTACGTGTTAGGATTAGGGTATGGGTTAGTGTAAGTCTTAGGGTAAGGGTTAGAGTTAGGATTAGGGATAGGGTTAGGGTTAGGGAACCGGTACGGTTTAGGGTACACGTTAGTGTATGACAACGGGTTAGGGTTAGGGTATGTGTTAGGGTATGGGTTAGTGTTAGTGTACGGGTTACGATTAGGGTACGGGTTAGGGTAAGGCTTAGGGTAAGGGTTAGGGTTAGGGAACGGGAATGGTTTAGGATACAGGTTAGGGTGTGAAAATGGTTTAGGGTTAGGGTACAAGTTAGTGTTCGGGTTAGGATTAGGGTACGGGGTAGGGTAAGGTTTAGGGTAAGCATTAGGGTAAGGGTTAGGATTAGGGTTAGTGTCAGGGAACGGGTATGATTTAGGGTATAGGTTGCAGTAGACAACTGGTTAGGGTTAGGCTATGTGTTAGGGTACGGGTTAGTGTTAGTGTATGGGTTAGGTTAAGGCTTTGGGTAAGTGTTAGGGTTAGGGTTAGGGATCGGGTATGGTATAGGTTACAGGTTAGGGTATGACAACGTGTTCTGTTTAGGGCACATGTTCGGGTACGGATTACTGTTAGTGTATGGGTTAGGAATAGGGTACGGGTTAGCGTAAGGCTTAGGGTAAGTGTTAGGGTTAGGGTTTTTGTTAGGGTTAGGGTTAGGGTTAGGGAACGGGTACGGTTTAGGATACAGGGTAGGGTACGAAAACTGGTTAGGGTTAGGGTTAGGGTTAGGGTTAGTGTTCGGGTTAGAATTAGGAAACGGGTTAGTGTAAAGCTTAGGATAAGGGTTAGGGTAAGGGTTAGGGTTAGGGTTAGGTTTAGGGAATGGGTACGGTTTAGGATACAGGTTAGTGAACCACAACGGGTTATGGTTAGGGCACGTGTTAGGGTATGGGTTACTGTTAGCGTACGGGTTAGGATTAGGGGACGGGTTATGTTAAGGCATATGGTAAGGGATAGGGTTAGGGTTAGGGTTAGTGTTTGGGAACGGGTCCAGTTTAGGGTACAGGTTAGGGTACAACAACGGGTTAGGTTTAGTGTGCGTGTTAGGGTACAGGTTAGTTTTAGTGTAGGGGTTAAGATTAGGGTATGGCTTAGGGTTAGGCGTAGGGTAAGGGTTATGGTTATGGTTAGGGTTAGGATTTGGGTTAGCGTTAGGGAATGGGTTAGGATTCCGGTACGGTTTAGGGTAAGGCTTATGGTAAGTGTTAGGGTTAGTGTTAGGATTAGGGAATGGGTCAAGTTTAGGGTACAGGTTAGAGTATGACAATGAGTTAGAGTTAGGGTACGTGTTAGGGTACGGGTTAGTGTTAGTGTACGGGTTAGGATTAAGGTACGGGTTAGGGTAAGGCTTATGGTTATGGTTGTTGTTAGGGTTAGGGTTACAGAACGGCTATAGATTAGGGTACAGGTTAGGGTACGACAATGGGTTAGGATTAGGGTACGGTTTAGTGTAAGGCTTAGGGTAAGGGTTAGGGTTAGGTTTAGGTTTAGGGTTTGGGTTACGGAACGGGTACGGTTTAGGGTACGGCTTAGGGTTCGACAAAAGTTTAGTGTTAGGGTACGTGTTACAGTATGGGTTAGTGTTAGTGTACGGGTAACGATTATGGAACGGGTTAGGGTAAGGCCTAGGGTAAGGGTTAGGGTTAGGGTTAGGGTTAGGGAACGGGGACGGTTTAGGGTACTGGTAAGGGTACGACAATGGGTTAGGCTTAGGGTACGTGTTAGGGTAAGGGTTAGTGTTAGTGT